GTATTAAATGACTGAACAGCAGTGCCGGAGATCAAACCAGATTAGTTGGGTCTTAAAGATGATATTTTCCTTTTCTTGACACAGCAACAGCTTCATAAGCTGTTTATAAGATGGCCGTCAAAGAGTCCAGAGAGACCTCAATTGCTTTTCACAACTTTCACAATCTCTCCTCCTCCAGTTTATCCCAGCAGCTGATAGCAGAATATTGTGACAACAGTTAAGACACATTTCCCAGTTCTATGTGTATATATATATATATATGTATCTTCACATTGGTTGGTCGAAACATTAGGAACCCATAATCATGAGGAAAATGTGAATTAAATATGAAAAATATCTAATTATTAATTATGTTAGAGGACACTTGAGGCAGTTAGAATCTTGGCACACTGGGGTTGATTTCTAACTAATTATCTACTACAGAATCTATTTCAAAGATCGAGACAAAGAGATCGATAGACAGATCGAAAGACACAGAGAGATAGAGATAGAGAGAGCAAGAGGCTATATTATTAAGAGTGAGTGTGAAAGGGTGTGGAGGAGAGAGATGAGATGGCATGAGGTGAGAGAGGAGGGAAGAAGAAGGAGGGTGAGGAGAGAAGAGGTGAGAGAGAGAGGAGGAGAGGGTGAGAGGAGTGGGTTGGCGAGAGGTTAGTAGAGAGTACGTCCGTGCCATCGGAGGCGGCGGTGAGGCAGTGAGAGAGGTGGCCGTGGTAGGAGGGGGAGACGCGTGGAGAGGGGACGGTTGCAGCGCGGAGAGAGGTGTGAGCAGAGGAAGGACGGTGAGAGAGAGAGGAGAGGGTGAGAGAGGAGAGACGGTGAGGAGGAGGAGGTGATGAGGAGGAGCGAGGGTGAGAGGGAGAGAGGTGGAGAGAGGCGAGCGGTGAGGAGTGAGTAGGACAGCGACCGTGAGTGGTAGGTCGAGAGGAGCGGTGACGGGCGAGTCGGGAGCAGGAGGCGAGGCTTGGCGTGAGAGGTAGCGGGTGAGGGTCTGGGGGCAGGGTGCGAGGGCTGGGAGGGTGGGGGGAGGCCGAGCGGGGGGTGAGGAGCGCGGCGCAGGTGGAGCAGGCGGAGGTGAGAGACGGCGGAGGCGTTGGAGAGGCGAGGAGGGGAGAGAGGTGGAGAGGCTGGAGCGGCGTGAGGAGGAGGCGAGGTGGACGAGCCGAGGCTAGAGGCACGGAGTGAGAGGAGGAGGGTGAGTAGCTGGCAGGGACGCGAGGCTGAAGGAGGCCAGCGCTGCGAGAGGCGGAGACGTCGAGCGAGAGGGAGGAGAGTGTCAGAGGAGATGGTAGGAAGCAAGTGAAAGGGGAGAGGTGAGGAGGAGGTGAGAGAGGGAGAGAGTGAGCGAGAGGTGAGAGGAGGAGAGGTGAGAGAGGAGAAGAGGTGAGAGAGAGGAAGAGAGGTAGGAGAGGTGAGAGAGGAGGAGAGGTGAGAGAGGAGGAGAGGTGAGAGAGGAGGAGAGGTGAGAGAGGAGGAGAGGTGAGAGAGGAGGAGGAGGTGAGAGGAGGAGAGGTGAGAGAGGAGGAGAGGTGAGAGAGGAGGAGAGGTGAGAGAGAGGAAGAGAGGTAGGAGAGGTAGGAGAGGAGGAGAGGTGAGAGAGAGAATGTGCATAACTGCTACATATGGCAGGAGTTCCAGAGCTGAGGGTCTATCAGCCAATCACAACTTGGCTTTGGCTGGCACCAGCTGCAGACTCTGAAGCTTCATGGCCATGCCCATGTTTCCTGCGATCTTCAGCTTGCCCTGGAAGAACGCCTGCAGCGGACATGTAGGGGAGAGAAATTATAATCAGAGGAGAATGGGTTAAAGCATAGGGAAAGTCAACTACGGCTCAGGCTCAGCGGTTTAAAGGGTTCAGGTTACCCAGTTGCAGGATTAATACGGTACACTGAAAACTGGGACACCGGAGAGAGGGAGAGAGAGAGAAAGAGGGGGAGAGAGGGACGGAGGGAGGGAGAGAGGGACGGACGGAGGGAGGGACGGAGGGAGGGAGGGAGCAAGTGGCTGGCCATGTCAGTGTTGGTCAGGGTGACAGCTTTCAGCCAGGGAACGGCTCTGCTCTGACAGGAACCAACTGGAGGCGTGCCTGCCTGCGTTTCAGCCGTTCAGATAAAACCCAATGCAGAACGGTGACAGGATTAATGGCCCAGACCTAAACCCTCAAAAATAACCATAACATTACAGGATTCATCCTAGAGGAAGTATGTGTGTGATGTCTGTTAAAGTTACAAAAATAGGTTTCTAACCTCAAGTGTCTTTCCTGTTTAAATAAAGGTTCAATTAATTATGCTTGCTGATGCTGACTCTCAAAATAAAAGCTCTGATGAAGACTAAGAGTCCGACACGTAAAGCTTGAATAACATAAGTGATAGTAAGAAGAGCAGTGTGCGGGTTTATTTTTCCTTTGGGGAAATGAAGGAGGGGAAAACAGAGAAAGGATTGTGTTCAGTGTTGCTGAAAGGATAAATTCAACCAAATAAAATCAATGGCCCCAGGTGTGTGGGTGGGAAGTTGGCCTAGATCTGGCCTGGCAACAAAAGTTTGATTGAAAATCGCCCACTTCACTTGCCCAAAAACATCCACTATCACTAATCACATTCTTCCCCTGTTGAATTTCTCCTCTAATTGTATTGTTTTTGTATCAGTGGCAAAAAGTTGATTGGAAAACGCCCACCTGCTGAAAACATCACGATAATCAATCTAATCTCTCTGCTGTGTCTTGTCCCTCTCTCCTCAATGTCAGACAATGATCCTGGGAATCACTTCAATAACAGTCTGGTCCCCCAGCTGGCCTGGGGACGAGGTTACTTCAATAACAGTCTGGTCCCCCAGCTGGCCTGGGGACGAGGTTACTTCAATAATAGTCTGGTCCCCCAGCTGGCCTCGGGACGAGGTTACTTCAATAATAGTCTGGTCCCCCAGCTGGCCTGGGGACGAGGTTACTTCAATAATAGTCTGGTCCCCCAGCTGGCCTCGGGACGAGGTTACTTCAATAATAGTCTGGTCCCCCAGCTGGCCTGGGGACGAGGTTACTTCAATAATAGTCTGGTCCCCCTACTGGCCTCGGGACGAGGTTACTTCAATAATAGTCTGGTCCCCCAGCTGGCCTGGGGACGAGGTTACTTCAATAACAGTCTGGTCCCCCAGCTGGCCTCGGGACGAGGTTACTTCAATAATAGTCTGGTCCCCCAGCTGGCCTGGGGACGAGGTTACTTCAATAAAAGTCTGGTCCCCCAGCTGGCCTCGGGACGAGGTTACTTCAATAATAGTCTGGTCCCCCAGCTGGCCTCGGGACGAGGTTAGTTGAATAACAATAAATCTAATCTCTCTCAGGTCTTTGAAATCCTTTATATCTGAACGGAGGTCTGGGACCAAACCTGGCCTTTCCCTCTGGCACCTGGGTTCTGAACGGAGGTCTGAGACCAAACCTGGCCAAATCTGGCCCATGTGTTACCTGGGTTCTGAACGGAGGTCTGAGACCAAATCTGGCCAAATCTGGCCCATGTGTTACCTGGGTTCTGAACGGAGGTCTGAGACCAAACCTGTCCTTTCCCTGTGTTACCTGGGTTCCGAACGGAACAAACTCCTTCAATAAAATGTTTTCTCTGTCTGTTACATGTTGAGTGTATTGTCCTTGGTCTGTGAGCGTTGTCAGACTGTGTCCCTTACGTCCAGGGTCAATGTCCATGAACAGACATGGGGCTGATGCCCTTAGTACACTTAATACATCTGGAGGCCTTGACTAGACATTTATTTATTAGAGGAGGGGTGAGAGAGGGGAGGGGTGAGAGAGAGAAGGGGTGAGAGAGAGAGAAGGGGAGAGAGAGAGAGAAGGGGAGAGAGAGGGGAGGGGTGAGAGAGAGAGAAGGGGAGAGAGAGAGAGAAGGGGAGAGAGAGCTCTTAGTACACTTAATACATCTGGAGGCTGGACTAGACAGTTATTAGGAGGAGGGGGAGGAGAGGGGTGGGGACGGGGTGAGAGAGGGGAGGGGGTGAGAGAGGGAGGGGTGAGAGAGGGGAGAGAGAGAGAAGGGGGGAGAGAGAGAGAAGGGGAGAGAGAGAGAGAAGGGGAGAGAGAGAGAGAGCTCATCAAGTTATACAAGCATAGCTAGTAGCTACTGAATGCCATTTTCAGTGAGTGTGGACATTTACAAGCGAAAGTGAACGAGATTAATTGTGAAAATGAACAAAGTTGTGATGCATGCTTTTCTGAAGGAAGAGCAGCATGTGCACACGGAGCAGAGGGGAGAACGGAGGAGGAAAAGAACACTAGCAGGAAGCACAGGGACAAAATGGCAGCTGTACAGAACTCATCCAGGGCTCTTTGACTTCTGGCAGAAAGCTATTATAAGATATCAAACATTTAGTAGTGAATTGCATACAAGTTTAACTTCATCACCTGTCCGCCGCACAACAGAGAGTATAGAACGCTATGGACTCACCAGCTCAACACCTGTTGTGTTATTTACAACAACAAAACACGTGACTGGCTCAACTGTTCTGGGGAACTACGGTAAGCCTCAATGTAAAATAAAGTGACAAGTGAAATGAAGAATGTGATCTGCTTTATCTCCTAACGTATTGCACAAGTTCACTGCAGGTATTCACTTAAAAAGCAGCTACAAACATTGACATTTATTGAAAACTTTAAATAAATAGTTTTGACGGTATTGAAAAACCATCCCGTGGCTTTTTCCAAATGCCCTGGTGTACCGTCCAAGCCTAATTTGGACTAAAAGTGAGTGACGAATCTCAATATAAAAGATATTGAAATGACTGATCTCCATCAATGAGACATAGAGATCCACTTTACTGTATATAACTTCAAGTGTGGTCATATCCAGGTGAAGTACTCACCCTTCACCCAAAAATGTGTAAACAGCAACACTTCGCCACTTTCATCCATGCATGATTATAACCAAGACGAGGGATCCATTTTAGGAGCTTTCATTCTCATGTGACATCTGGGTAAAGTAAATGCACACATGTTCTATAAAAGGTCATCTAACACCTATTTACCTCCTGAAAACTGAACAAGAGGACAAGAGCATTGGGCTTTATCCCAAATGGAACCCTATTACCGTAGGTCTTTGGTAAAAAGTAGTGTACTATATAGGGAATAGGCAGCATTACTCATTGTTGTTTTAAAGACTCACCGTCTGTGGATTCATCTTGCCTGTCATCAGCATCATTAAGTCTTCATCTCCCATGGTGATAGTGCAGTCAGCCTTCTTGTCTGAATGGAGGAGAGAATAAAATAAGAGAGCTTCAATTATCCTGCCCTACAAAAACCTTCCTTCAATTAACCTCCCCTACAAAACCTTCCTTCAATTATCCTGCCCTACAAAACCTTCCTTCAATTATCCTGCCCTACAAAACCCTTCCTTTAATTATCCTGCCCTACAAAACCTTCCTTCAATTATCCTGCCCTACAAAAACCTTCCTTCAATTATCCTGCCCCACATAACCTTCCTTCAATTATCCTGCCCCCCAAACCTTCCTTCAATTATCCTGCCCCACATAACCTTCCTTCAATTATCCTGCCCCACATAACCTTCCTTCAATTATCCTGCCCTACAAAACCTTCCTTCAATTATCCTGCCCTATAAAACCCTCCTTCAATTATCCTGCCCTACAAAAACCATCCTTCAATTATCCTGCCGTACAAAACCTTCATTCAATTATCCAGCCCTACAAAACCTTCCTTCAATTAACCTCCCCTACAAAACCTTCCTTCAATTATCCTGCCCTACAAAACCTTCCTTCAATTATCCTGCCCTACAAAACCTTCCTTCAATTAACCTGCCCTACAAAACCTTCCTTCAATTATCCTGCCCTACAAAACCTTCCTTCAATTATCCTGCCTTACAAAACCTTCCTTCAATTATCCTGCCCTACAAAACCTTCCTTCAATTATCCTGCCCTACAAAACCTTCCTTCAATTATCCTGCCCTATAAAACCCTCCTTCAATTATCCTGCCCTACAAAAACCATCCTTCAATTATCCTGCCCTACAAAAACCATCCTTCAATTATCCTGCCGTACAAAACCTTCATTCAATGATCCTGCCCTACAAAACCTTCCTTCAATTATCCTGCCCTACAAAACCTTCCTTCAATTATCCTGCCCTACAAAACCTTCCTTCAATTATCCTGCCCTACAAAACCTTCCTTCAATTATCCTGCCCTACAAAACCTTCCTTCAATTATCCTGCCCTACAAAACCTTCCTTCCTTAATTATCCTGCCCCACATAACCTTCCTTCAATTATCCTGCCCCACATAACCTTCCTTCAATTATCCTGCCCCACATAACCTTCCTTCAATTATCCTGCCCCACATAACCTTCCTTCAATTATCCTGCCCCACATAACTTTCCAGTATTAAAATGATTACTGTACTACTGATTACATGTGACATAGGCTATGTCCCAAATGGCAACGTTTTCCCTATAAAGTGTAGTACTTTTGACCAGAGCCTATTTGGGACACAGACATACATAAGTGGGTAGGGTGAGGTGAGAATGGTCTGATCAACAATGCAGTACATGGGAACATCAATTATTTGCACCATAATAATAAGGACTTTGCTATTCATAGCTAGACAGATGATAGACTCGGTTGTTGGGTCGTTCCACCAATTGGGTGCCTTTTGAGTAGTATAACTTGGTCCAAAAAAAAACGTTTGATTTCACCTAATTTTAACATTGTTTTAAAGAGCACATGTTATGTGCGCTATGATGAAACTGGCTCACATGTTCAACTTAATAAAATAACAAATGTTCACATCAAGTTTAAATTTTAAAAAAATACTATAGTAAAAAAATGTGTAAATACTATAGTATTTTTTTTTTTTAATACTATAGTAAATGCCTATAAGTTCCAAATAAAGTATCAGGGTTGATGATTTCATCTTATCAGCCATAACTCCCCTTGTGACAGGAGGAATGGAAGCTTGTTGTGTGCAACAGCGAGGGGCAATTGAATGCATATTTCACCAAAAAAAATGTAATGGTTAAAAACATTTCTAGCCTGTCTATCTATGGATAAGAGGGTTTTTACGTGTTACGCTCGAGCCCCTCAGTTTTCCACCACAAAACGGCGAAAAAGAGCTCACCCTGATTGTACATTATGATTTCACTATTAGATGTTCAATATTTATTTGGAATATAAAACGAGAGTTCAGTTCAAGTAACAGGGTTGACCTTAAAATGAGAGACGTAAATGAATTACTAATCACATGATTAAATAATAGTCTTTCAGAAATGACTGTCAAAGCAACAACAATACCTAGAGCTTTACAATGATGGTGAAAACTTGGGGAAATGTTTGGGTGAAGTAGGTTAAAATCTTCCTAGTAGCTGTAAAAACATTAGGGGACATGGAAACTTTCGCAACCCACTGGGCACAGACGTCAGTTCAACGTCTAGTTTTTGTGGTCCTCTGTAGCTCAGCTGGTAGAGCACGGCGCTAGTAACGCCAAGGTAGTGGGTTCGATCCCCGGGACCACCCATACACAAAAATGTATGCACGCATGACTGTAAGTCGCTTTGGATAAAAGAGTCTGCTAAATGGCATATTATTATTATTATTATTATTATTATTAACTCAACATGAAAACAACAACAAAAGGCTAACTCAGCTCCATCATTCATTGAATCAGATGGCTCATTCATCACAAAACCAACTGATATTGCCAACTACTTTAATAATTTTTTCATTGGCAAGATGAGCAAACTTAGGCATGACATGCCAGCAACAATTGCTGACACTACACATCCAAGTATATCTGACCAAATTATGAAAGACAAGCACTGTAATTTTGAATTCTGTAAAGTGAGTGTGGAAGAGGTGAAAAACGTATTGCTGTCTATTAACAATAACAAGCCACCGGGGTCTTACAAATTGGATGGAAAATTACTGAGGATAATAGCGGACGATATTGCCACTCCTATTTGCCATATTTTCAATTTAAGCCTACTAGAAAGTGTGTAACCTCAGGCCTGGAGGGAAGCAAAAGTCATTCCGCTACCTAAGAATAGTAAAGCCCCCTTTACTGGCTCAAATAGCCGACCAATCAGCCTGTTACCAACCCTTAGTAAACTATTGGAATAAATAGTGTTTGACCAGATACAATGCTATTTTACAGTAAACAAATTGACAACAAACTTTCAGCATGCTTATAGAAAAGGACATTCATCAAGCACAGCACTTACATAAATGACTGATGATTGGCTGAGAGAAATTGATGATAAAAAGATTGTGGGGGCTGTTTTGTTAGACTTCAGTGCGGCTTTTGACATTATTGATCATAGTCTGCTGCTGGAAAAACATATGTGTTATGGCTTTACACCCCCTGCAATAATGTGGATAAAGGGTTAACTGTCTAACAGAACACAGAGGGTGTTCTTTAATGGAAGCCTCTCAAACATAATCCAGGTAGAGTCAGGCATTCCCCAGGGCAGCTGTCTAGCCCCCTTACTTTTTCCCATCTTTACTAACGACATGCCAGAATTTGAGTAAAGCCAGTGTGTCTATGTATGCGGATGACTCAACACTATACACGTCAGCTACTACAGCAACTGAAATAACTGCAACACTTAAGAAAGAGTTGCAGTTAGTTTCGGAATGGGTGGCAAGGAATAAGTTAGTCCTAAATATTTCCAAAACTAAAAGCATTATATTTGGGTCAAATCATTCACTAAACCCTAAACCTCAACAACATCTCATAATGAATCATGTGGAAATTGAGTAAGTTGAGGTGACTAAACTGCTTGGAGTAACCCTGGATTGTAAACTGTCATGGTCAAAGCATATTGATACAACAGTAGCTAAAATGGGGAGAAGTATGTCCATAATTAAGCGCTGCTCTGCCTTCTTAACAACACTATCAACAAGGCAGGTCCTACAGGCCCTAGTTTTGTCGCACCTAGACTACTGTTCAGTAGTGTGATCAGGTGCCACAAAGAGGGACTTGGGAAAACTGCAGTTGGCTCAGAACAGGGCAGCACGGCTGGCCCTTAAAAGTACACGGAGAGCTAAAATTAATGACATGCATGTCAGTCTCTCCTGGCTCAGAGTGGAAGAGAGATTGACTTCATCACTGCTTGTTTTTGTAAGAGGTGTTGACAAGCTGAATGTACTGAGCTGTCTGTTTGGAATACTGGCACACAGCTCGGACACCCATGCATACCCCACGAGACATACCACCAGAGGTCTCTTCACAGTCCCCAAGTCCAGAACAGACTATGGGAGGCGCACAGTACTACATAGAGCCATGACTACATGGAACTCTATTCCACATCAGGTAACTGATGCAAGCAGTAGAATCAGATTTTTTAAAAAACAGGTAAAAATACACCTTATGGAACAACGGGGACTGTGAAGAGACACACACAAAAGGTATAGACACATGCATACGCACCCTTTGTGATATTGTTGTATGGTGGTATTAAACATGTTGTATTGTAGATAGGTAGTGGTGTAATAATGTTATATGATGTACTGTTTTATACTTTGTTTTTATATGTAATGTAAGTGTTTTAATATGTTTGGACCCCAGGAAGAGTATGTTCGCTGCACTTTAGAGACCATTCAACGTACTGTTGGGGCTGTGTCCCAAATGCCACCCTATACGGCTCTGGTCAAAAGTAGTGCACCATATAGGGCATTGGGTGCAATCTGGGACGCACACAACATCCTAACAAGTGAGATGGGTTTGATAACATGCTCAGAGGAAGGTCAAGTTTAGAAAGGTTTTTCAACAGAGCTGAGTGGAAGAACAGGACACTGGTCCAGACAGCCATAATGGAAGCAATTTAAAAAGTTTATCTGTGAGACTGTGTGTGTGTTTCCTAAAGGATGCAATTTAAAAGTTGTGTTTGTGTGCGTTTGGCGTTTGATTAAAATCCTTCTTTGTCTTTGCATTAGAGAGCTGCTCTCAGAAGACAGACTGTCTATCCTTTTATATTCTGCAGACAACCATCTCCTCAGACGGACATTCGTTCTGGGTTTTTTTTGTCAGGAAATCTAATATGGCAGAATCCCAGCTCCTCCAAGTCCTCTAACGCTCACATTGATAAAAACACTCAACATTGTCAAAACACAAAGACCAAATATTCTGATGAGACACGCACATAGACACACACGGACAGACACACGGACAGACACACACCAGCATCGTTGCTCACGGAGCCTTGTCCATTCTTCACGTCTACGACCCACAGAGCGTCTCTCCCCTCTGGTCCATCTTTCACCTTGAAGGCAAAAACTCCACCAATCTTCTTCACAACGTCTTTTCCTTCCTGCAATGTGACCCAATCAGAGCAGAGAGAGATGGACTGTTATGGCTTTGCGTTCTGTTGGGTTGTGTTAGGTTAATGTTGCATCACCATACTTCAAAGTCTTGTCCATCACTCAAACACGGAAGCGGAGGCTGGCGTCGGGTTAACGTTACCTAAATATATACAGTACCAGTCAAAAAAGTTTGGACACCTACTCATTCCAGGGTTTTTCTTTATTTTTACATTTTAAAATAATAGTGAAGACATCAAAACTATGAAATAGCACATATGGAATCATGTACTAACCAAAAAAGTGTTAAACAAATCAAAATATATTTTATATTTCAGATTCTTCAAAGTAGCCACCCTTTGCCTTGATGACAGCTTTGCACACTCTTGGCATTCTCTCAACCAGCTTCATGAGGTAGTGACCTGGAATGCATTTCAATTAAACAGGTGTGCCTTATTAAAAGTTAATTTGTGGAATTTCTTTCCATCTTAATGCGTTTGAGCCAATCCGTTGTGTTGTGACAAGGTAGGGGGGGTATACAGAAGATAGCCCTATTTGGTAAAATACCAAGTCCATATTATGGCAAGAACAGCTCAAATAAGCAAAGAGACAGTCCATCATTACTTTAAGACATGAAGGTCAGTCAATACTGAAAATGTCAAGAGTGCAGTCGCAAAAACCATCAAGCGCTATGATGAAACTGGCTCTCATGAGGACCGCCACAGGAATGGAAGACCCAGAGTACCTCTGCTGCAGAGGATAGGTTCAGTAGAGTTAACTGCACCTCAGATTGCAGCCCAAATAAATGTTTCACAGAGTTCAAGTAACAGACACATCTCAACATCAACTGTTCAGAGGAGACTGAGTGAATCAGGAATTCATGGTCGAATTGCTGCAAAGAAACCACTACTAAAGGACACCAATAAGAAGAGACTTGCTTGGGCCAAGAAACACGAGTAATGGACATTAGATCGGTGGAAATCTGTCCTTTGGTCTGTTGAGTCCAAATTTGAGATTTTTGCTTCCAACCGCCGTGTCTTTGTGAGACGCAGAGTAGGTGAACGGATGATCTCCGCATGTGTGGTTTCCACCTAGAAGCATGGAGGAGTTGGTGTGATGGAGCTTTGCTGGTGACACTGTCAGTGATTTATTTAGAATTCAAGGCACACTTAACCAGCATGGCTACCACAGCATTCTGCAGCGATACGCCATCCCATCTGGTTTGCGCTTAGTGGGACAATGACCCAAAACACACCTCCAGGCTGTGTAAGGGCTATTTGACCAAGAAGGAGAGTGAGGAGTGCTGCATCAGATGACCTGGCCTCCACAATCACCTGACCTCAACCCAATTGAGATGGTTTGGGATGAGTTGGACCGCAGAGTGAAGGAAAAGCAGCCAACAAGTGCTCAGCATATGTGGGAACTCCTTCAAGACTGTTGGAAAACAATTCCAGGTGAAGCTGGTTGAGAGAATGCCAAGAGTGTGCAAAGCTGTCATCAAGGCAAAGGTTGGCTACTTTGAAGAATCTCAAATTTATTTTGATTTGTTTAACACTTTTTTGGTTACTACATGATTCCATATGTGTTATTTCATAGTTTTGATGTCTTCACTATTATTCTACAATGTTTAAAATAGTAAAAAATTAAGAAACACCCTGGAATGAGTAGGTTTGTCCAACCTTTTGACTGGTACTGTATGAGGTGACGGACTCACATAAATCACGTAGCTAGCTAGTTTTACTGGGTTCTGAGACTACCTTGACATTGGTCTCTGGTGACAGACTGTTAAACAGAGACACAAATGACCTCATAAAGTCATTATTATAATTTAAAAAAAAGCTTTGTTAAATAAAATTCAAATGTGGCAAATAAGTCATTATTATAATACAAAAAGCTTTGTTAAATAACATTAAAATTTGGCACTTAATTGATGTGACAAACAAGCAGCAATGACACTGCAGAGTGAGACTGAGGTAAGAGTCTGCAGTCGTCAGCACCCACACAGAACATGAATACATTTGGACTTTGCATTAAAAGGATATAAATGGTTAATAGGACTTTGGTTTGTCCAGGGGCTGTACCTCCTGTAGTTTCTTCTCTATCTCCTGGAAGACAGAATAGGCTTTGAAGCCCTCCAGACTTTCTGCTCTGGTGGGGACAGCCGCTATCTGGGACCTAGAACACACACACAGAGACAGGCTTCAGTTGGAGAGCGTTCTCTACGAGAGAGAAAGAGAGGCTATTAAAAATGAGTGTGTGTTTGCAACATCATCATTGAAGGACAGTCATAAAGTAAACGTGTGTGTTGAAAGGAGTCTGTCCAAGGTCATACTGCAGTGGCTCCACTTAAACTGTTCCAACACAGAAGGTTAAAGTACAGGCTGTGGCCGAGTCCCAAATGGTACCCTATTCCCTAGTTTGTGCACTACTTTTGACACACACAATAATGGCCTTGGACACACCACTTTCAACATTGGTACATTCAAACACAAAAACACACACACACACACACACACACACGCCTTGGCTTTTGTCCTACTAAAAAGGCCTTTAATAAAACACCAGTAGCTAGTAGATCATAATGCTCTGCTGTTGTTAGTCCTTTGTACAGAATGTTTAAGGTAAGTACCACAGTACTTTTAGGTCTGTCTACCTACACATCAGGTAGACTGAACGACAGGCCTGTCTACCTACAGTTGAAGTTGGAAGTTTACATACACCTTGGCCAAATACATTTAAACTCAGTTTTTCACAATTCCTGACATTTAATCCTAGTAAAAATTCCCTGTCTTAGGTCAGTTAGGATCACCACTTTATTTTAAGAATGTGAAATGTCAGAATAATAATAGAGAGAATGATTTATTTCAGCTTTTATTTCTTTCATCACATTCCCAGTGGGTCTGAAGTTTACATACACTCAATTAGTATTCGGTGGCATTGCCTTTAAATTGTCTCCAGAGTGGCGCAGTGGTAGCTGTGCCACTAGAGATCCTGGTTCGAATCCAGGCTCTGTCGTAGCCGGCCGCGACCGGGAGACCCATGGGGCGGCGCACAATTGGCCCAGCGTCGTCCAGGGTAGGGGAGGGAATGGCCGGCAGGGATGTAGCTCAGTTGGTAGAGCATTGCGTTTGCAACGCCAGGGTTGTGGGTTCGATTCCCATGGGGGGCCAGTATATAAAAAAAAAAAAGATGTATGCACTCACTAACTGTAAGTCGCTCTGGATAAGAGTGTCTGCTAAATGACGTAAATGTAAATGTTTAACTTGGGTCAAAAGTTTCGGGTAGCTTCCCACAATAAGTTGGGTGAATTTTGGCCCATTCCTCCTGACAGAGCTGGTGTAACTGAGTCAGGTTTGTAGGCCTCCTTGCTCGCACATGCTTTTTCAGTTCTGCCCACACATTTTCTATAGGATTGAGGTCAGGGCTTTGTGATGGCCACTCCAATACCTTGACTTTGTTGTCCTTAAGCCATTTTGCCACAACTTTGGAAGTATGCTTGGGGTCATTGTCCATTTGGAAGACCGATTTGCGACCAAGCTTTAACTTCCTGACTGATGTCTTGAGATGTTGCTTCAATATATCCACATAATTTTCCTTCCTCATGATGTCATTTATTTTGTGAAGTGCACCAGTCCCTCCTGCAGCAAAGCACCCCCACAGCATGATGCTGCCACCCCCGTGCTTCACGGTTGGGATGGTGTTCTTCGGCTTGCAAACGTAACGATGGTCATTATGGCCAAACAGTTCTATTTTTGTTTCATCAGACCAGAAGACATTTCTCCAAAAAAGTACGATCTTTGTCCCCATGTGCAGTTGCAAACCGTAGTTTGGCTTTTTTATGGCGGTTTTGGAGCAGTGGCTTCTTCCTTGCTGAGTGGCCTTTCAGGTTATGTCGATATAGCACTCGTTTTACTGTGGATATAGATACTTTTGTACCGGTTTCCTCCAGCATCTTCACAAGGTCCTTTGCTGTTGTTCTGGGATTGATTTGCACTTTTCGCACCAAAGTACGTTAATCTCTTGGAGACAGAACGCGTCACCTTCCTGAGCGGTATGACGGCTGCGTTGGTCCCATGGTGTTTATACTTGCGTACTATTATTTGTACAGATGAACGTGGTACCTTCAGGCATTTGGAAATTGCTCCCAAGGATGAACCAGACTTGTGGAGGTCTACAATTTCTTTTCTGAGGTCTTGGCTGATTTCTTTTGATTTTCCCATGATGTCAAGCAAAGAGGCACTGAGTTGGAAGGTAGGCCTTGAAATACATACACAGGTACACCTCCAATTGACTCAAATGTTGTCAATTAGCCTATCAGAAGCTTCTAAAGCCATGACATCATTTTCTGGAATTTTCCAAGCTGTTTAAAGGCACAGTCAACATAATGTATGTAAAACTTCTGACCCACTGGAATTGTGATACAGTAAATTATAAGTGAAATAATCTGTCTGTAAACAATTGTTGGAAAAATTACTTGTCATGCACAAAGTAGATGTCCTAACCGACATGCTAAAACTATAGTTTGTTAACAAGAAATTTGTGGAGTGGTTGAAAAACAAGTTTTAATGACTCCAACCTAAGTGTATGTAAACTTCCGACTTGTTCCGAACTGTACACATCAGGTAGACTGAACGACAGACCTGTCTACCTACACATCAGGCAGACTGAACGACACATCAGGTAGACTGAACGACAGACCTGTCTACCGACACATCAGGCAGACTGAACGACAGGTCTACCTGAATGCCAAGTGTTTTTCTATAGGCTGTCACTCAGGAGAAAGAACAGGTGGAAAAAAGACAAGTAGGTCTGTCCCTGTTGTTGTGTGTGTGTGTGTGTGTGTGTGTGTGTGTGTGTGTGTGTGTGTGTGTGTGTGTGTGTGTGTGTGTGAGAATGTTTGCTTTTCTCAGTTATTAGTGTCGTGGAAATTCTAATCAATAATGAGGAGAGACAAGGTCAATCACCGATCAGGATATTACTTTATTCAAAACGTATTAATAAGGTAGTAAAGTGAGGCTGGTCGACCCAACACTCTTGACTGTTGGGTTGAGAGTTCTGACATCTTTTATAGCACGATACCCCCTCTCACTCTACATGACAAACAGCAGATGTGTGGAATGAGTCAAAAGGTTAGGATTTGTATGAAATCAATTAATAATTCACAGCAGACAGTATCTGCGGTGAAGACTGTTCTCATTGTATGGAAACCAGGGTTTGGCCCCCAAGACAAGGTTCTTATCAACATTATCCACACCCGAGCCATCTCTCCCTGGTACCTTACATTACACAAACACCAATGCAGGCTCAGTCAGACCAGAGACATCTCCCTCTCACACATCGTTAAATGGAATGTGGCTGTTGGTTTTATCACCTAGACATTCATAAATCAGTTGCCAGCTCCAGATACCCATATCTCAAGTAAAAACCCATGTCCTTGACCACACGCCTAGACTAGCTGCAGGGAGCTGGAGTAGAAACCATCCCTTTACAAAAACACAGCATTAATAGGACAGAAATGTCTTACTATTTGTTAAACAAAGCAGGTAAACATGTTACGCATTCATCTTTCTCTCACATTAGGAACTTTTTACAAAACATGGGTTTGGTGCAGTATAGAGGATAAGACCGAGTTGTGAGGAATGCTCACATTTTACCTCACAATATTCACAACAACTATCATACAGAGAAGCAACAAGATTGTTCACAATGCCACCAACTATATCTTTGAAGCCAATTCAATACCGTGAAAAACAGTTTTGAGATGAGAACCATGTTACCCAGCTCAAACAATGACTTTTTGAAGATGTAAGCCTGAAGAGATCATGTACCACAGCCATTTCCTCTGTAACAGAATTACACTGAGACGATTTTGTCACTTTAAAATATTTGCCTAACAAAAAAAACATTGATTTCAACATTTGATAAACCAAACAACTCTATGTACAATGACTACTTTGAACAATTTAAAACAGTCAATTGTTTTTATAAAAACCTTTACTGGAAAAACGTTGTATCTGTGTTGCAACATGTTCTGTGGAAATGGTTTAAAGTTGTCCTTGTGCATAGAGTTTTATGGTTTGTTAAACATGGAAAGCAATGGTTTTATTTATTGTACATTTTAAAGTAGAAAAATTCTGTTACCATGGAATTGCCCCTAAAAATTTTTAAAAAAAACTTTGCCTTTATGCTAAAGCTGGTTTCTATTATTTTAAACAACATACGATTTCTGCAAGGATCTGAGAGATATAGACTAAGAAATCACACATTATTAACTCTTCTAGCAGTCAGTTAAGTCAGTTCGCTAATTAGTTTAATAGTTTGTTAACTAGTTAGTTAGCTAGCCTAGTTAGTTGGTAAATCACCTCAGTGGTGTGTTTCTCACCTAGTCAGTTAATTAGTTAGTAGGCAGGCAGATAAACTCACCTGGCGTCCTGAGGGAAGCCCATCCTGTAGAGAGTGACGACCACAGCTCCTCCCAGACCGATGTTGTGCTGCAGGGCCACCTTCGCCCCCGGGACCTGCCTCCTCTCAGCCTGGCCTCTCAGCTGCCAGCACAGCTCCGCACACTGGGCCAGACCTGAGCAAGCACAGTCACACAGAGACAGAGACAGAGAGAGAGAGAGAGACAGAGAGACAGAGAGAGACAGAGACAGAGACAGAGACAGAGACAGAGAGAGAGAGAGAGAGAGAGAGAGAGAGAGAGAGAGAGAGAGAGAGAGAGAGAGAGAGAGAGAGAGAGAGAGAGAGAGAGAGAGAGAGAGAGAGAGAGAGAGAGAGGGAGAGGGGAGGTCAATGACACATACACAGAGAGAGAGATCAGATCAGAACACTGGGCCAGACCTGAGTAATCAACCACAGAGAGAAATGAGGCCAACACACTGGGACAGACCTGAGCAATCACACAAACCGATAGGGTCAATGCACTGAGCCAATCACAGAGATCAGAACGCTCAGCCAGACCTGAGTAATCAACAAGAACAAACGAGAGAGAGAGAGAGAGAGAGGTCAGAACACAGGGCCAGACCTGGGCCAGCACGTCTGTAGCCATGAAGTGCTTTGAAAGGCTGGTCATGGCTCACATCAACACCATTATCCCAGAAACCCTAGACCCACTCTAATTTGCATACCGCCCCAACAGATCCACAGATGATGCAATCTCTATTGCACTCCACATTGCCCTTTCCCACCTGGACAAGAGGAACACCTACGTGAGAATGCTATTCATTGACTACAGCTCAGCATTCAACACCATAGTGCCCTCAAAGCTCATCACTATGCTAAGGATACTGGTACTAAACACCTCCCTCTGCAACTGGATCCTGGACTTCCTGACGGGCCGCCCCCAGGTGGTAAGGGTAGGTAACAACACATCTGCCACACTGATCCTCAACACGGGGGCCCCTCAGGGGTGCGTGCTCAGTCCCCTCCTGTACTCCCTGTTCACACATGACTGCATGGCCAGGCACAACTCCAACACCATCATTAAGTTTGCCGACGACACAACAGTGGTAGGCCTGATCACCGACAACGATGAGACAGCCTATAGGGAGGAGGTCAGAGACCTGGCCGTGTGGTGCCAGGATAATATAAAAATAAATAATATGCCATTTAGCAGACGCTTTTATCCAAAGCGACTTACAGTCATGCGTGCATACATTTTTGTGTATGGGTGGTCCTGGGGATCGAACCCACTACCTTGGCGTTACAAGCGCCGTGCTCTACCAGCTGAGCTACAGAGGACAACCTCTCCCTCAACGTGACCAAGACAAAGGAGATGATTGTGGACTACAGGAAAAAAAAGAGGACTGAGAACGCCCCCATTCTCATCGACAGGGCTGTAGTGGAACAGGTTGAGAGCTTCAAGTTCCTTGGTGTCCACATCACCAACAAACTATCATGGTCCAAACACACCAAGACAGTCGTGAAGAGGGCACGACAAAGCCTATTCTCCCTCAGGAGACTGAAAAGATTTGGCATGGGTCCTCAGATCCTCAAAAAATTCTACAGCTGCACCATCGTGAGCATCCTGACTGGTTGCATCACCGCCTGGTATGGCAACTGTTCGGCCTCCGACCGCAAGGCACTACAGAGGGTAGTGCGTACGGCCCAGTACATCACTGGGGCCAAGCTTCCTGCCATCCAGGACCTCTATACCAGGCGGTGTCAGAGGAAGGCCCTCAAAATTGTCAAAGACTCCAGCCACCCTAGTCATAGACTGTTCTCTCTGCTACCGCACGGCAAGCGGTACCAGAGTGCCAAGTCTAGGTCCAAAAGACTTCTCAACAGCTTCTACCCCCAAGCCATAAGACTCCTGAACAGCTAATCATGGCTACCCGGACTATTTGCACTGCCCCCCCACCCTCACCCCCCACCCCATCTTTTTACGCTGCTGCTACTCTGTTAATGATTTATGCATAGTCACTTTAACTCTATCCACATGTACATATTACCTCAACTAGCCGGTGCCCCCACACATTGACTCTGCACCGGTACCCCCCTGTATATATAGCCTCCCTACTGTTATTTTATTTTACTTCTGCTCTTTTTTTCAACACTTTTTTGTTGTTTTATTTTACTTTTTTATTAAAAAATAAATGCACTGTTGGTTAAGGGCTGTAAGTAAGCATTTCACTGTAATGTCTGCACCTGTTGTATTCGGCGCATGTGGCCAATAAAATTTGATTTGATTTGATACGACACATCAACCACAGAGAGGGGAGGTTAATGTACTGAGCCAGACCTGAGTAATACGCCACAGAGAGGGGAGGTTAATGTACTGAGCCAGACCTGAGTAATACGCCACAGAGAGGGGAGGTTAATGTACTGAGCCAGACCTGAGTAATACGCCACAGAGAGGGGAGGTTAATGTACTGAGCCAGACCTGAGTAATACGCCACAGAGAGGGGAGGTTAATGTACTGAGCCAGACCTGAGTAATACGCCACAGAGAGGGGAGGTTAATGTACATGTGGACAACTACAAATATCTAGGTGTCTGGTTAGACTGTAAACTCAACTTCCAGACTCACATAAAGAATCTCCAATCCAAAGTTAAATCTAGAATCGGCTTCCTATTTCGCAACAAAGCCTCCTTCACTCATGCTGCCAAACATGCCCTCGTAAAACTGACTATCCTACCGATCCTTGACTTCGGCGATGTCATTTACAAAATAGCCTCCAACACTCTACTCAGCAAATTGGATGTAGTCTATCACAGTGCCATCCGTTTTGTCTCCAAAGCCCCATACACTACCCACCACTGTGACCTGTACGCTCTTGTTGGCTGGTCCTCACTACATGTTCGTCGTCAAACCCACTGGCTCCAGGCCATCTATAAATCACTGCTAGGCAAATCCCCGCCTTATCTTAGCTCATTGGTCACCATAGCAGCACCCACCCGTAGTCTGCGCTCCAGCAGGTATATCTCACTGGTCATTCCCAAAGCCAACACCTCCTTTGGCCGCCATTCCTTCCAGTTCTCTGCTGCCAATGACTGGAACGAATTGCAAAAATCTCTGAAGCTGGAGACTCTTATCTCCCTCAATAACTTTAAGCATCAGTTGTCAAAGCACCTTACCGATCACTGCACCTGTACACAGCCCATCTGAAATTAGCCCACCCAACTACCTCATCCCTATATTGTTATTTATTTTGCTCTTTTGCACCCCAGTATCTCTATTTGCACATCATCTCTTGCACATCTAGCATTCCAGTGTTAATACTATTGTAATTATTCTGCACTATAGCCTATTTATTGCCTTACCTCCATAACTTGCTACATTTGCACACACTGTATATATATTTTCTGTTGTATTTCTGACTTTATGTTTTTTTTACCCCATATGTAACTCTGTGTTGTTTTTATTGCACTACTTTGCTTTATCTTGGCCAGGTCGCAGTTGTAAATGAGAACCTGTTCTCAACTGGCTTACCTGGTTAAATAAAGGTGAAATAAAAAAAATAAAAAAAACATAGAACTGTAGGGTGTCTGTGAGATCAGAACACTGTGCCAGAACTCCCAGATCACAGGTCAACGCAATCTACAGCTATATAAGCGTTATATAAGAAACTCATCATGCTGACGACCAGAGGGATTGGAAAGCCTACTGTAATATCTACTTGAACAACAAACTGAATATCACGTATGAACATTTCATATTTCAAATGTTTTCATATTTGAAAAGGCATCTCAATGATCAGATTGATTTCCTATCACAGATGACAGATTTCCTGTTTCAGTCCTTCCTTACGCACACACACACGCACTGCACATGGGCACAGACAAACGGGCTCACACACAGCCCCATCCAGCCTGTGAGTGCTAATGCTGGATTGTTAAGTCTAACCAGATGGACAACAGGCATCTGAACCCAGAGTGTGGCTGAGGCAGGATGTCATTTCACAAATTAAAAATAACCCTAGGTCCCCGACACAGCACGTCATTGGTCCCTTTAAAAACACAACGACCTTCCATTTTGATTTTCTCATTTTTTACGTTGAAAAATGACCACACAGGGTCTCCATTACAGACATTTATAATCCTCTCCGATTTAACCAGGTCGGGTCATCGTGGTCAAAAATCTCACTCTCTCTAGTGTCGCAATGCACTTAATTTCCATAAACTCTTTCCTGCCACATCAAAGAGGGTTGACAAGTTGACCCTGTAGCTGGTAGGGCTCTGGTCAAAAGTAGTGCAGTATATAGGGAATAGGCTTCCATTTAGGACGCATCCTGAGGCAAACTAACCTTTTAGAACAAAGTATGGAAGGATGCTAATACTGTAGTATAGAGGTCTATGCTAAAAAACGTTTTTTTTAGGTTTAGGCAACATTAAATACCTCAAACCTCTCACATAACTAGAATTGAAAGCTGGATCTCTATGTACAATAATCAACAGTGAAAAGTCCATTTTGAAATCATCCTCCATCTACGCTCACCACAACTGACATCAGGCTGTCAAAGTGAAGGCGGAAAATGTGTAATGTCTGAATTAGTTATGTCAATTTGTAAAATAAACAATATCTTCTATATTTTCAGTGTGCAAATGGCCAAACCGGAGGACACGTGCTGTGCCCCCTCCTTGCCATAATAAGCATCACATCCTGGACTTCCTGGCAACAACTAAAAACATGTTATTGTTGACAAAAAAGGCCTCCAAAAAGTTAACTACCGGTAATCCATACAGCCGAATAATAATTCATAATGGATCAATAATTTTCCCCCTACATATACATTAACTGCCTTAAAGTTGCTGGACCCCAGGAAGAGTAGCTGCTGCCTTGGCAGGAACTAATGGGGTACTATAAACCCCAGGAAGAGTAGCTGCTGCCTTGCCCCAGGAAGAGTAGCTGCTGCCTTGGCAGGACTAATGGGGATACTTAATAAACCCCAGGGAGAGTAGCTTCTGCCTTGGCAGGACTAATGGGGATCCATAATAAACCCCAGGAAGAGTAGCTTCTGCCTTGGCAGGACTAATGGGGATCCGTAATAAACCCCAGGGAGAGTAGCTTCTGCCTTGGCAGGACTAATGGGGATCCTTAATAAACCCCAGGGAGAGTAGCTTCTGCCTTGGCAGGACTAATGGGGATCCTTAATAAACCCCAGGGAGAGTAGCTTCTGCCTTGGCAGGACTAATGGGGATCCTTAATAAACCCCAGGGAGAGTAGCTTCTGCCTTGGCAGAACTAATGGGGATCCTTAATAAACCCCAGGGAGAGTAGCTGCTGCCTTGGCAGGACTAATGGGGATCCGTAATAAACCCCAGGGAGAGTAGCTTCTGCCTTGGCAGGACTAATGGGGATACTTAATAAACCCCAGGGAGAGTAGCTTCTGCCTTGGCAGGACTAATGGGGATCCTTAATAAACCCCAGGGAGAGTAGCTTCTGCCTTGGCAGGAACTAATAGGGATCCTTAATAAACCCCAGGAAGAGTAGCTGCAGCCTTGGCAGAACTAATAGGGATCCGTAATAAACCCCAGGGAGAGTAGCTGCTGCCTGGGCAGAACTAATGGGGATCCGTAATAAACCCCAGGAAGAGTAGCTTCTGCCTTGGCAGGAACTAAAGGGGATCCTTAATAAACCCCAGGAAGAGTAGCTGCTGCCTTGGCAGGAACTAAAGGGGATCCTTAATAAACCCCAGGGAGAGTAGCTGCTGCCTTGGCAGGAACTAAAGGGGATCCTTAATAAACCCCAGGGAGAGTAGCTGCTGCCTTGGCAGGAACTAATGGGGATCCTTAATAAACCCCAGGAAGAGTAGCTGCTGCCTTGGCAGGAACTAAAGGGGATCCTTAATAAACCCCAGGAAGAGTAGCTGCTGCCTTGGCAGGAACTAATGGGGATCCATAATAAACCCCAGGAAGAGTAGCTGCTGCCTTGGCAGGAACTAATGGGGATACTTAATAAACCCCAGGAAGAGTAGCTGCTGCCTTGGCAGAACTAATGGGGATCCTTAATAAATACAATACAGTGCCTATAGAAAGTCTACACCTCCCTTGGACTTCTTCACATTTTATTGTGTTACAAAGTGGGATTAAAATGGATTTAATTGTATTTTTCCCCCCAACAAAATACAAAATACTCTGTAATTTCAAAGTGGAAGAATAATCTTGATTTGTTTTTAGAATTTATGAAAAATAAAACTAATATACGTTGATTATATAAGTATTCAACACCTGAGTCAATACATGTTAGAAACACTTTTGGCAGTGATTACAGCTGTGAGTCTTCTTGGGTAAGTCTCATAACAGCTTTGCACATTTGGATTGTGCAATATTTGCCCATTATTCTTTTCAAAAATTGTCAAGGTGTTGGGGATCATGGCTAGACAGCAATTTTCTAATCTTGTTATACATTTTTTAAGTAGATTTATGTCAAAACTGTAACTTGGCCACTCAGGAACATTCACTGTCTTCTTGGTAAGCAACTCCAGTTGTAGATTTGGCTTTGTGTTGTAGGTTATTGTCCTGCTGAAAGGTGAATTCCTCTCCCAGTGTCTGGTGTAAAGCAGAATGAAGCAGGTTTTCCTCTAGGATTATGCCTGCGCTTGGCTCCATCCTGTTTCTTTTCATCCTGAAAAACTCCCCAGTATTTGCCGATGTCAAGCATACCCATACCATGATGCAGCCACCAACATGCTTGGAAATAAGGAGGCAGTTACTCAGTGATGTGTTGTGTTGGATTTGCCCCAAACATTAGGCTTTGCATTTAGGCCAAAAAGTATATTCCTTTGCAGTATTACTTTGGTGCCTTTTTGCATACATATGCATGTTTTGGAATATTTATATTCTGTATATGTTTATTCTTCTTTTCACACTGTCATTTAGGTCATTATTGTGGAGTCACTACAATGTTGTTGATCCAGCCAGTTTTCTCCCATCACAGCCATTGAACTCTGTAGCTGTTGTAAAATCACCAATGGCCTCATGGTGACATCCCAGTTTCCTTCCTGTCCTGCAGCTCGTTACCCATCTACCAATCACTGCCCTTCTTTATGAGGCTTTCCAAAAGCTCCCTGGTCTTTGTAGTTGAATATGTGCTTGAAATTCAATACTTGACTGAGGGATCTTACAGATGTTGTATGTATGGGGGACAGAGGAAGGGGTAGTCATTCAAAAATCATGTCAACCCCTATTATTTCACACAGAGGGAGTCCATATAACTTATTATGTGATTTGTTAAGCCAAATTTTACTTCTGAACTAATATAGGCTTGCCTAAACAAAGGGGGTGAATACTTACGCAACAACTATATTTTATTCATTTATTTTGTATATTGAGTATTTTGTGTAGATCAACAACAAAAAATTACAATTAATTACATTTCAATCCCACTTTGTAATGCAACAAAATATGATAAAAGTTCAAGTGAGTGTAGGGCTATATTTTTCAATAATATAATCTTTGAGAACTAACAATCACCAAAATAAAAGCTACACAGTCAGAGAGAATAGAAAATCAACAATTAATTTAGTGGTATAGATTTTGTTATTATGTTTGAGAAAAAGAACACAACATTAGTCATGTCAAAATACATAGAATTGCAGCAAATTTGCTTTAAACTGCAAAAATGTCTCTCAGCTCTATGGAGAAATGTGTAGAAATGCTAACATTTCTCTACACCGCCAAGATGGGGGCCTCTAAAATTATTTCAAATTCAGCTGCGCCGACGGGCCGACCGCGCCCCCTGCCACGCCCACCACATACACCCCTTTTTGATCCAGAAAAACCCCTGAGAGTCACTTATTGCTCTCTGGAGTGGACCCAGCACTTAGCAGACCGTTCAATATCCTCCAGGATGTCACAGCCTGTCTGTCTCTCTCTGGCTGTCTGCCTGGCTGGCTCTCTTTCTGCCTGTCTGTCTGTCTGCCTAGCTGCCCGTCTGTCTGCCTAGCTGTCTTTCTGTTTGCCTGTCTGTCTGCCTAGCTGCCTGTCTGCCTGTCTGTCTGTCTGCCTAGCTGTCTTTCTGTCTGTCTGCCTAGCTGCCTGTGTGTAACAGGCAGAGCATGGATAAAGGCTTTTGTGGGAGTTACTGACTTTCCCAGGAGACTAGTTCCCTCTTGTGGTCATGACTGAAACACATTAGTCACATCACACATCCAGATTCCATTAGATATTTATTTTTTTGCAACTTCTGAATCTATAATGTTGCTTTTTCAACATGATTGTTACACAAATGTGTTGGCATAGGAGATTGAAGTCAGCGGGGACGCAGGGCCGAGACGTCCCCCTGGGCCCAGCAGATCGCCCTTTTGTTTAACATGTAGCTCTTAGGTTCATGGTCTCGGAGTGCAGGGGTTAGGCAGAGCGGTTGCTATTCAGTGTACCAGCCTCTGGGTCAAGTTCGGGTCATGGGGTCTCTTGGTCGCAGTGTCTGTTGGTGCTGTCCTGTAGCCTATGGTCGGTTCGAGTCAGGGGTATTGTGCCTCAGCGTTGTTGTTTACCTGTCTCGCCTTCTTCTGGGGTCAGGTTTCGGTCTGGGGTTATTGGGTTCAGCACAGTGGTTGGTTTATTGTTACGGAGACGGGTGACTGAGTTTAGAGGTGTATACCCTTGGTTCACGAAACCAGGGTGACCTTAGCAATAGTCCATGGTTAGAATTATTTTGGCTCCGTTTGATCTTAATGTTCTATCTCTCCACTATTTAGGAAATAGAATAGTGTAGCATTAATGATGATCAATCATGTGTGAAAGTTCATGAGGGCTTAGCAGATCAGGTCAGCAGGGTGGTTACAGGTTTAACGAACTATTAGGGGTAAGGTAGCAGGGGTAAATGAGTCAGGAACAGCGGGGGAACAGAATGCTAGGGAACCAGAGGGGTAGAGTAGAATGTATAGACACACAGGACACTAGATGCTAGAGGGGCACCTTTGGGAGAAAGTCCGTCTAGGGTTGACCAGCCCAGTGGGCCTCCGAAATCGATTGTACATCACCCGGATAAGCTCAGCTACTAGGAAAAACAGTGGATAAATCAATCTAAACACCCAGGGACAAACCAGATCTTACGAAGGCCAGGGGGAAAAGTCAGCAATGTGTGGAAAACCAGGGACAAACCAATGCTAAGGGAACACAGCCAGGGGAAAATCAGAATGCTAAGGAACACAGCCAGGGGACAAAGTCAGAATGCTAAGGGAACACAGCCAGGGGACAAACTCAGAATGCTAAGGGAACACAGCCAGGGGACAAACTCAGAATGCTAAGGGAACACAGCCAGGGGAAAACTCAGAATGCTAAGGGAACACAGCCAGGGACAAACTCAGAATGCTAAGGAACACAGCCAGGGAATGCTAGAAAACTCAGAATGCTAAGGAACACAGCCAGGCACAGGGAAACCTACAAATGCTAAGGGAACACAGCCAGGGGAAAGTCAGAACTAGGAACAGCCAGGGGATCAGAATCTAAGGACACAGCCAGGGGGAAAATCAGAATGCTAAGGGAACACAGCCAGGGGAAAACTCAGATGAAGGGACACAGCCAGGGGAAAGTCGAATGCTAAGGGAACACAGCCAGGGGGAAAAGTCAGAATGCTAAGGGAACACAGCCAGGGGGGAAAACTCACTATGTTTATGACAGGAGTATGACAAGAGTTAAAATAGACACACAGATGGCCTCTCATTCTGACTATTAATAATTAAACTATAGTAAAACATTGAACTGAACATTAAATCAGAGACGGTGAAAAAACATTATAGGGAGTTAACAATGCTACTTTTATGTGACCAGAAATAGGTCGTAGATTGGTAGGGTCAGACTCACCCTCTGGGCACAGCCCCAGAGCCTCGTACGTGATCAGCTCGTTGGCAGAAAAACAGTCGTGCAGCTCGATCACATTGACGTCACTGGGTTTCAGACCCGCTGACTCAAAACACTTCTTGGCTGCCAGGGAGGTCATGTCATATCCAACCTAACAGGAAACAACTCCAAAAGGTCACTACTTAGTGTTTTATTGAGAAACCTTGCTTTTCCCCCCCCCCAGATTTTAGCTCAAGGGAAATACCCACACCTTGAATAATAACTGATCATGCTATCTTTTTGTTGGAGACACTACTTTTGAACAGCTTTAAGTCCCTCTCACCATTTTCATGCAGCTGTTGTCCTCGAACGTGGTGGAGAGGTCTGTGACCATCTCCTGGGCTAAGATCTCCACCGCCTGGCCCTCTAGACCATGACGCCTCACAAAGTCCTCACTGGCCAGGACGGCTGCCCCTGCACCGTCGGAGGTAGGACTGGGGGGGGGGGGGGGGGGGGGGGACAGGGTAGAAAGAACAGTGTTAGTTTCCCCTAGATTGTTTTCCGCAAAGCAACACCCTGGTCCTTAACACCAACATTTTAAATTGTAATCAAATAAAGCCAAACTCTTTTAGGTGGAGGTCAGAGGGGCCTGCCCCGCCCTGCCTATCCTCTGGTAGGGGAAACACTGCCCCAGAGAGCTAGTGGGGCTCCTTACCAACACTGGAGGAGAGTGAGGAACTCAAACACCTTCCTGGACTGTTTGACCTGGTCCAGACTGTACTCATCCTGGAACTGAGAGTACCTGTTCACACACACACACACACATATATATACAGTGAGGGAAAAAAGTATTTGATCCCCTGCTGATTTTGTACGTTTGCCCACTGACAAAGAAATGATCAGTCTATAATTTTAAATGGTAGGTTTATTTGAACAGTGAGAGACAGAATAACAACAACAAAAATCCAGAAAAACGCATGTCAAAAATGTTAGAAATTGATTTGCATTTTAATGAGGGAAATAAGTATTTGACCCCCTCTCAATCAGAAAGATGTCTGGCTCCCAGGTGTCTTTTATACAGGTAACGAGCTGAGATTAGGAGCACACTCTTAAAGGGAGTGCTCCTAATCTCAGCTTGTTACCTCTATAAAAGACACCTGTCCACAGAAGCAATCAATCAATCAGATTCCAAACTCTCCACCATGGCCAAGACCAAAGAGCTCTCCAAGGATGTCAGGGACAAGATTGTAGACCTACACAAGGCTGGAATGGGCTACAAGACCATCGCCAAGCAGCTTGGTGAGAAGGTGACAACATTTCTTTGTCAGTGGGCAAACGTACAAAATCAGCAGGGGATCAAATACTTTTTTCCCTCACTGTATATATATATATAAATAAACATATATGGGTTGTCTTGCAGTGGCAGGAAAACATTGATCAGGCCTTCTGTGTGTTGAAAATATTTGATGGCTGCAGTCTTACGGGTTGTTGGTGGAATGCTTGTGGTTCTTCCATGCGATTTTGGCAAAGTGCTCTGGTGTAGTGCCTGGAAGAGTCCCGAGAATTAATAGAAATAGTTAACTATTCTATGACAGACTTCCCAGAGTTCCACACTCACACACTACACTGGTGTATCATCTAAATGAAAGAAAAGGCTAAGCACAGCACCAACAACACACTTCATACAGTACTGCGCACACGTGCACGCACGCCATCATGTTTACCGTATTTCTCCATGTGTTCTCTGCCGGCGTTGCCGAACATCTGTGGTGCTGCTGGTGCTGCTGCCATCCCATATGTGTTGAACATCACCTCCATGTGCTTGTCCATGGGGTTAGTCCTGTCCATGAACTATAATACAAAAACACACTGGGTTAGTCCTGTCCATGAACTACAATACACTGGGTTAGTCCTGTCCATGTACTACAATACACTGGGTTAGTCCTGTCCATGTACTACAATACACTGGGTTAGTCCTGTCCATGTACTACAATACACTGGGTTAGTCCTGTCCATGTACTACAATACACTGGGTTAGTCCTGTCCATGTACTACAATACACTGGGTTGTCCTGGTCCATGTACTACAATACACTGGGTAGTCCTGTCCATGTACTACAATACACTGGGTTAGTCCTGTCCATGTACTACAATACACTGGGTTAGTCCTGTCCATGTACTACAATACACTGGGATAGTCCAGATCATGTACTACAATACACTGGGTTAGTCCTGTCCATGTCCTACAATACACTGGGTTAGTCCTGTCCATGTACTACAATACACTGGGTTAGTCCTGTCCATGTACTACAATACACTGGGTTAGTCCTGTCCATGTCTACAATACACTGGGTTAGTCCAGATTATGTACAACAATACACTGGGTTAGTCCTGTCCATGTACTACAATACACTGGGTTAGTCCAGATCATGTACTACAATACACTGGGTTAGTCCAGATCATGTACTACAATACACTGGGTTAGTCCTGTCCATGTACTACAATACACTGGGTTAGTCCTGTCCATGTCCTACAATACACTGGGTTAGTCCAGATTATGTACAACAATACACTGGGTTAGTCCTGTCCATGTACTACAATACACTGGGTTAGTCCTGTCCATGTACTACAATACACTGGGTTAGTCCTGTCCATGTACTACAATACACTGGGTTAGTCCAGATCATGTACTACAATACACTGGGTTAGTCCAGATCATGTACTACAATACACTGGGTTAGTCCAGATCATGTACTACAATACCCCACCCCTGGTCTTACCTTTGACGACAAGGAGCCTCTCTCCATCTTCTCAAAGCCCAGGGCTAGTGCACACTCAGCCAGACCTACAGTCAGCAAAAATAAGGTAAATGTTCAGGTCCAGCATAAAACGTATCATAGGAGATGAACACGCGTCCTATTTCAGTTTGCTTATTTGTCAACTTTCAACAGGAAATCTTCCAGGACATGGCATCACTAGGGCCAGGAGTTTGTCCTGAACATGTGACCAGAGCAGGGAAAGACTCCTGGCCCTAGGCATTAATCCTGCCCCCCTCTCTCCCAGTTCCACTCACCTCCCTGTGTCCCATCCAATGACGTACTGAAAAAAAAAGTATGTGGACACCTGCTCGTCGAACATCTCATTCCAAAATCATGGGCATTAATATGGAGTTGGTCCTCCCTTTGCTGCTATAACAGCCTCCACTCTTCTGGGAAAGCTTTCCACTAGATGTTGGAACATTGCTGCGGGGACTTGCTTCCATTCAGCCACAAGAGCATTAGTGAGGTTGGGCACTGATGTTGGCCGATTAGGCCTGGCTCGCAGTCGGCGTTCCAATTCATCCCAAAGTTGTTTGATGGGGTTGAGGTCAGGGCTCTGTGCAGGCTCCAGTCATGTTCTTCCACACCAATTTCAACAAATCATTTTTATACGGACCTAGCTTTGTGCACGGGGGCATTGTCATGCTGAAACAGGAAAGGGCCTTCCCCAAACTGTTGCCATAAAGTTGGAAGCACAGAATCATCTAGAATGTCATTGTATGCTGTAGCGTTAAGATTTGCCTTCACTGGAACTAAGGGGCCTAGCACGAACCATGAAAAACAGCCACAGACCATTATTCCTCCTCCACCAAAATGTACAGTTGGCACTATGCGTTCGGGCAGGTAGCATTCTCCTGGCATCCGCCAAACCCAGATTGGTCCGTCGGACTGCCAGATGGTGAAGCGTGATTCATCACTCCAGAGAACGCGTTTACACTGCTCCAGAGTCCAATGGCGGCAAGCTTTACACCACTCCAGCCGACGCTTGGCACTGCGCATGGTGATCTTACGCTTGAGTGCGGCTGCTCAGCCATGGAAACCCATTTCATGAAGCTCCCAACGAACAGTTATTGTGCGGACGTTGCTTCCAGAGGCAGTTTGGAACTCGGTTACAACACTCACGATTTTTACTCGCTACAGGCTTCAGCACTCGGCGATCCCGTTCTGTGAGCTTGTGACCTACCACTTCGCGGCTGAGCCATTGCTGCTCCTAGACGTTTCCACTTCGCACTTACAGTAGACAGGGGCAGCTCTAGCAGGGCAGACATTTTACGAACTGACTTATTGGAAAGGTGGCATCCTATGACGGTGCCACGTTAAAAGTCACTGAGCTCTTCAGTAAGGCCATTCTACTGTCAATGTTTGTCTATGGAGATTGAACGGCTGTGTGCTCGATTTTATACACCCGTCATTAACGGGTGTGGCTGAAATAGCCGAATCCACTAATTTTAAGGGGTGTCCACATACTTTTGTATATATAGTGTACTGTATGTATAACACAGATATGATTCATGTATCTATGGTCGAGTCCCACGCACCTCCCTGAATTAGCTGTCGGGTCATGAACAGGGCAGTGGAGCCTGTGGAGCAGTTGTTGTTGACATTGATGATGGGGATCCCTGACAGGCCAAGACTGTGGTAGATGGCCCTCTGGCCACAGGTAGAGTCACCTGAAAAAGTACGATAATAACATGGTCATTTACATTGACAGTAACACAAGTGGAGTCACCTGAGACATGATGAGACACAAAGATGGGACGGACAGATGTCAAAATGACTTCATCTTAAAGTGATCTTGTATTAAACACGATAGTTCATCACTAGATAGTTATCTTCATGACACAGACACAGGTCAGCTCAGGTGAAGGATTACATTGTGTTATAATATCTTACAGGCCTATATACAACATCATAGCTTATTACTAGGCGGACACTTACAGCCCTTTTTAACTGAATTTGAAGCCAACTCACAAAGCGTTTAATATGCCCAAAAGAATACAGTTAAGTAACGTACCGTTAACCAACTTACAATTAATAATCAATGACAGTCTCTTACCATACACATAGCCCACACAGGCTTGCTCTATGGCAGAGTAGGGGACTCCAGCATCCGACAAGGCCCTCTCACCTGACTCATAAGAACGTGATTAAAAGACACAAGCACAGGGAACATCACTCAAAATGTTGCATGTAGAATGGGGCTATTATATGACATGTCATGTATAACACAGGGTATTATAACCAGGTAGTATCCAGGTGAATGTAGTAATGTTGGCAAAAATGTTTCATTTATAGCTCAGTACAGGACAGGTACAGTAATGAAATGACAACCACCTGCTATCTTTGCCATGTCGGGATAGTCAAAGTCTTCTTTTCCTGGCTTCTCAAACTGCAAAGACAAAACACGGGAGAGGGCTACGGATAAAACCTCAGACTGGGGATAACAGTTCAATTACTACACAGACAGCGCTCTAGGTCAACATGACTGCTGTGTTCTTGAGCAAGGCACTTCGCCCGTAAACTGCTCGGGCCTATAGCTGACCCTGGCTTCCAACTCATGTGTGTGATCTAAAAAAGGCAATGGACAAAGAAAGTATTCTTCTAATTCTGACTGTACATGAGGTACGTCCTTCAGCTGCATGTAATGTAGCTAGTGATTATCTAGCTATCGGTGTGTACAATGCATCCATGACCCTTGGCACAATTAGCCTTTGACCATGGAGTATTGGACTTTCAGATAAGACGGTGTTTTAAAATGCCACGTATGACAATTGCATTTAGCAAATGCATTTCCAAGCCATACTTCACAATACAATTGTAAACATCGTTAGCCCAATACATTTGTTATTCAATGTTTCGTGTTAGCTAACTAGCAGAGCTAGAAAGCTGGCAAGTAGCTAAGTTAGCTACCTAGTCAGCTAGTAACACCAACATGAACAGCTCACAAAAGCCTTGAATCTCGCGTTAGATGTTAACTAGCTAGTTAGCCTACGTTAAATATCGAAATAAATTACAAGCTACTGTAGCTACCTACGTTTTTGGGAAATGCTGCTAGCCAACGTGACATGACAGGTAACGTTTGCTAGCTAGCTAAGGACAACTCGCTAGCTCTTTGCTAAATTGTCTTTCAATGCCAGATAGCAATCCAGCTAGCACGGATGCTAGTCGAAATGCAACCCTTTATAGGTTATTATATCGAATAGCAAGATTTACCTTTGTCATTCCCACTCCAATGACGAATACTCTGTTCTTTTGAGGAGCCATTCTGGTTGTTGTGCTGAGACTAGTGCTTCCAAGAGGGCAGAGTGACAATACGGATGATGACAGTTTACCCAACTGAGAAGTCAAAGTACTACGAAGAAGGAGTTTCAGTGGAGCACGTGAACGCAGCATAACTCCTTGCCTGTCGTGTAGCTAGCTCCCTTTACCCATATTAACGTTACACAATTCAGTGACTTCTTAATGAAGTCAGTTGAAAGTGTATCCAGTTGTGTAAGCAATGGATATACTCTGTTGACATAAAGGGGCTGACCAAATACGTAGCTAGATAACGTTTTGCTATTGGCTGTATTAAAAAGTGCATTTAAGAGCAAAGTACTGTACTATTGTTGACAATAGTAACAGACAAACTTTCAAAAAAAGTGGCAGTCACACATTGCTGAGTTTCATCACTACTTCTTGTGACCGAACTGCCTCAGATTTACTCAATGCATTCTGATACTGATCATTCCAGGCAGAGAAGAAAACATTTTAAAAAACACATGATCTGGGGTTTTTCTTCCATTCATGATCTTTATTGGGGTAGTGACAAAAGGCAAGGCATTATGGATCATTCAATCCAGCATGATGTGGACGGCCATTCCATCCAATCAATCCTCCAATGCTTCTTGCTCGTCACAAACCCAACAGCACTGCATTAGCATTGGAAGTGTCTGATACCGACAGACATTTCAGCCAGTGGATGAGTGGATATCTGGCCATAGTGTAGCTGGTCGTACAAAGCGCTTGACCGTAACTCAACACTTGATGAACTGATGTGTGACCTCATAGATGCCCACTGACTCGCTGGCCTTCTCGTCGTAGTCTGTCCAGTCCTGATATGGAGAAGAAGTATTAAAAATGCTTTCCTAGAACTGAAAATAACTGTATTGTATTGGGTACTGGAAACTAGTCTTATTATCAATATTCACATTTACTATGTTGACCTACTGGCCGTAGAGAAAGAAAAAAATACTCACTTTTTCCAGTAGGGTGATTTCAGTAAACTTGGTCCCAGACTCAGCTCCCTCTGCTGCAAAGCCCGCCTGGTGTGTTTCAAGGTCAAAGTAAAATGTGATGTTAGAGACATGGGACAAGGTTGAAGTGTTGTAAAGCAAATGTTTTAGTTGACTTTATTGTTATTTCAGCAGTATTACAAGTTCTTAAGAACAATTGTCATTGAAAACTGAATTATTTGCTGTTACAAAAAAAAACTTTTACAAACTTACTAAATAAAGAAAATGTCAAGGTGTTAGAAATGTCTATGCTAAACATTTGGAATCTGTTTTTGAATGGTAGAGTGGATCCAATTTTTATACTTTAATCAGAAATATTCATAAAGGAAACAAATTCCACTTTGATGCTGTAACCGCAACCTTAGTTGAGATTTGACAACATACAGTACAAGAGTGTACTCTGTTCTCACTTGTGGTTGGAAGTCCACTGGCTCCAGGCCTCGACACTCAAACTGCACCATGGTCTTAAACCTCTCACTATCCTCAGCCTTCACAGCAGCAGCACCGTGAGAAAGAGATAAGATGGTGTGAGTGGCTGAAATAAAGAAATACTCTTGTGTGTTTTAAAGATGTATTGTTCTGTCCCAGTACAGCAGAACACTTCAAGCATCAGCAGCAACAGAGTGGTAGGATGAAATAGGCAGTATTATTACTAAACATTTCCCGCCTTCAATTGATCGATTGATCGGTAAGCTTCGCAATAAGTACTGTACTCACGTTGTACGGGGTGATTGTGTCTCTCATGATATCTGTGAACAGACACATACATATGAACATCATTGCAGAAACAAGGTAGAGCTGTTGCTTACCCCTATCCAGTCATCTTAGATCCCCAAAGGAGAGTGAAATATTTACATTTTAGTCATTTAGCAGACGCTCTTATCCAGAGCGACTTACAGTTAGTGAATACATATTTTTTTATACTGCCCCCCCGTGGGAATCGAACCCACAACCCTGGCGTTGCAAACGCCATGCTCTATCAACTGAGCTACATCCCTACCTGCCATTCCCTCCCCTACCCTGGACGACGCTGGGCCAATTGTGCGCCGCCCATGAGCCACCCGGTCGCGGCCGGCTGCGACAGAGCCTGGATTCGAACCAGGATCTCTAGTGGCACAGTTAGCACTGCGATGCAGTGCCTTAGACCACTGCGCCACTCAGGAGACTATATGGCAGAATGTGTGAAACAACTTAAAATGCAGATGTGTAATGCTTCTGTTTGCTTACCGATAGAATTCTCCCTGGCACAGAGTTTACATTTCTGCACCATGCTGGCACTCCCTCGTCCTCCTTTGAGTGGCACACTGTCCTAGGGAAACTGACAGTCACTGCAAAGTGTGCGATAACCGTTGTCACCATATCAATGTGACGTTAAATAACAAAAGAGACATTTATAAATCCACCTTTACTTACCATAAGGTTGATATACTGCCATTTCTCTGGGATCTCACCACAATTGGCACATTTTAACTGTAACAAAAGTAGGTATGTTATATTTGTCCCAAATGGCACCCTATTGCCTATATAGTGCACTACTTCTGATCAGGGCGCATGCTCTGGTCAAAAAAGTAGTGCACTCAATAGGGAATAGTGTGTCAACTAGGGAAGCACACATTGTGTGTGATTGTGGCATAGAGATTCTATTCTAACCCTAATTCTATGGGTTATTGTGAGTCCACAACACTGCATCAGCATTGCTTTTGTTACCTAGCTAACAGTAGCGTAGCTAACGTTACACGTCACATACTTAATGCTTACTGGCTAAAAACGAGCAATAATGTTTTGAAAATAACGTCGCATGAGTACCTTTCGTTGCTAGTCGTGTTTTAAATGTCTTGTTTATGTAGTGACACACCTTTTCACCATTTGACAAATTCGCTTATTGTGTGTCATGATATAGAGCTAATCGTAAATAGCTAGCTTCAGCTTGTTAGCAAGTTCTTAGTTACCTTTAGAAACCAGCGGAAGTCTTCACCCACTGGCCGCACATTTGTGACATTTTCCAAAGTGGCTTTGAACTGCAGCCCAATTTTCTATGAAAAATATAATAACACGTATTTAATTCATTATAATGTAAATATTATTGTTGGCAGAAGTGCATGCTCTGAATGATGTGGCCTCACTTACCACCATCTTGACACTAGTACATTTGCGTAAACACTAGTTTCAAAATACGGAAGCGTAGCTACGTCAAGGCACGCTTTTCCGTATTCAATTACACTGTTACTCGTACATACCGAACTGAGATTCTCAAGAATCAATTAGTTATTGAATAATGAAGCCAAACACGCCTCCAGTTTTTCATAGACCATTTTGCAATGGGCTTTTATTGTTTCAATCATCCAACATCGACTCCACAAAATTGTATGGTAAAAATCAAGTCACAATTCCGCAACTGAATGCTTATTAAATACAGCACTTGGCATATAAAAGCCATTTGAACACATGTGTATTGCTGTTATGTGACCCTTCAATCAGTTTGACTAATATCTCTGCACTTTAATGGTTTTCCGTCAACCTGAGAAAAGTATTCAAAAAAAAATCATCACGCTATTTCTGGAAATAACCACTACTAAATGACGACTAGGGGAAATTAAACTAATATAATTAATTTGTTCCTAGTGATAATTAATCTTGAAGCATAATTAATTTAAGGAACATTTTATAAATTAACCTGACAAAAATAAAATATATATTTGTGCTATATCACGCATCATGACTGTGTTGATGACGAGTTTGGATTGGGATTACCCCACCAGGAAATACACAATACATTATCATGGACGAGTCAGCCCAAACTAACCACATCACTGCTGTCAGGTAAGTAACATCTAAATTGGGCTTCCATAAAGGAAAACCCATGTTTGAGAATATTCAACCTTTGTTACTACTTCTTAGCTCACTTTTCTCAACCTCATATTCTGTGTGTCTATTAGCGTTTCTGAATGCCATGGAGTTTGGAACTGCGCTACTGTGGAGGTTCTGTAGCTTTGAGAATGGTGCAGGTTAAGCGCACAGGTACAAGACAACTCAGCTAGGGAATGGAACATACAGATTTAAAAAAACACGATAGGACTGACAAAAAGGGGTAGGAAAAACCTACTTCAAGATTGCCAACAAAAACAAATAACATTTTTTACATTTTATTCATTTAGCAGACGCTCTTATCCAGAGCGATTTACAGTTAGTGAGTGCATACATTTTCATACTGCCCCCCCCCCCGCGGGAATCGAACCCACAACCTGGCGTTGCAAACGCCATGCTCTACCAACTGAGCTACACAGGACTACGTGAGCAATCCTGAGTTCACATTTCAACTTTCAGTCTAGTTTCGTCCACATGTTCTAAATCCAAAATTCTTCTCACTGATGAATTGGATCCCAGCCTGTGATTTTAGGGTTTCATTTTCATTGGACAACACCAACAGTTTCCCTCTTTTATTCAGTCTGCCAAAAAGCAGCAGACGATATGAAATACTTTTTAAATACAAATTTGAAATAAACGGATGAAAACAGAAAAGGGGTTCATTCTTAACACATGGTCTCGTTGCAAAAACCAGAGGTTCTCTCTCTCCCCGCCTGAAACAAATCAAGTCCAACAATTACAATAAAAGTAACTGTAATAACAGTAGTAGTAATAATAATAATGAAGGCATTGTAGTTCCTCTTTCGGCTGCATCCCGATTCTCCACCCTTCTCCTATAAAGGACTTCTCCTGCAAGCACAAACTCCGGTAAAAGGGTAGAGAATCAGGACGTAGCCTTCCTCCATCTTAAATACAGCAATGCCATTGGGAATTATGTACAGGTCTAAACCACACTCCGCCTTCAATAAAGGAGAGGTCAATGAGGGCGACTGCTGGACTCGGAGGTCAGTCGTTGCCGGGCGGGCGTGCTGTGCCCGTTCATGCAGCCGTTGTGCCGCTTGGTCAGTCCGCCGTTCAGAATGTCCTGGATGTGCTGTACTATCAGGTTTATTGCCACTGAAAAAGAAAAAATAGTCAGGAGGAAGGGAAGAGCGAAGTCAGTGTGACCATGGTACATTCACAAAGAGGTATCAACAAGGAAACCACTGAGGGAAAATTGATGAGTCATGTAACGTGACGGCTCCGTAAGAGCCAACATTTCCTTACCATACCCCTTTACTATATTGACAAAAAGGGGCAAAAAAAGATTCCATACAACACAAAGGGGTATTCAAGGATCGGATCTCATGGACCTTCCTCCTTACCCAAGTTATCTGCTCCACGAGGGATGATCACATCAGCATACTTCTTGGTCTGGAAACAAACATTACAATAACAAGGCAAGTACTTGCAAAGATTGTGCTGGTCAATGAAGCCAGGCATACAATATAAACAGAGACGTACAGAGAGTGGAGACTTACTGGAAGACAGAACTCCTCAAAGGCAGGCTTGACAAACGTGATATATTGAGAAAGAACCTGCTCAAGGTCCCTGCCCCGTTCACCTATGTCTCTTAGCACTGGAAGAAATAAAACATTAAAAAACTGGAACACAGAACACACACACACGTTAGATCTGGAACACAGAACACACGCGTTAGAAGTGAAGAGATACTGACACCAAGTCTGACTGGCAAGAGTTTGCACAACTTCACCTTATCCAAATAAAATAAATAAATAAAAAATCCAGAAATATACACAGAAGTGGAGTCAGCAAACACACACACCTCTGCGTGAGAGCCGTGTGTCTGCATCCGTGTCTACGAACAGTTTCATCTGGAACAGGTCTCTGATCTCCTGGGAGTAGAACATCAGGATGCCCTCGAACAACACCACGTCAGCCGGGTACACAGTCACAAACTCATCCTTCCTGGAATCGAACAATGTACACCATGAATATAAAAAAATTCAGGATGACCCAACAGGATGCCCTCGAACACCTGGGTACACAGTTACAAACATCCTTCCTGTGACGGAGAAACATTGAATACAGCATGGGAGCCTAATATGGCTTCAATAATGTAATCACCATAACGGCACTGCATCAGATTGGACACACCACACTCACAGAGTATCGAGGAGCTCACCTGGAATGGGTGAAAAAGTCGTACACAGGGATCTGTACGGTCTTCCCCTGCATGATCTGCCACAAAGTCTGCGTGACCAGCTCATTGTCAAAGGCATCTGAAGAATGACAGTTTTAGAGAAAGAAATTCCACGAGGTTCACACAAGTAAAATAAGAGACGGGAGAGAAATGGTTTAAGAGAAAAGTGAGAGAGACATTCCAATAAGGTTTCTCACTTCTATTCCATTGGTAAAATACCTGACCATACATGGGCCTCCCCTCAACCCACATGTGCACAAGTACACGTGTGAGCCCACGCTATCACACACACTAGCCTAATGTAATTGAGGAATCTTTGTGGAGTCTACTGGGTCACAGCTGTTAAGGTTTTTCTCTCAGTCCCTGGGTGTGTCCTAATACTATCTCCTGACACTTCCTCCCTACAAATCTAAAAGCATTGGATTGGTGGAGACATGGGCTAGACTAGAGGGAATTTCCCCAATTTTGTATGGCAGGCATTTCCCTTTAAAAATCAGTGAAAGGAAATGAACAAGTGCACACTTCAGGAGAAAGTAGGGATTGAGACGCACCCCCTTGCCTTGCAGCAGCTGAGAGAGACTCTGCTACTATAGCTCCGCTGACTAGGAGTATGTCAGGAAGATGGGCTAAGAGTATCAGGGATGGATGGCCAACAGAGGACAAAAATGGATCAGGTATGCAATGGTAAAAACTTGAGTACCTCTGAAATTGTTTATGGAATGTGGCTGTGGGTCATGTGATTTAAAAAAAATGTAGTGTTGTTTGAAATGGAATCAAAAAGGGTGAATCATTGGATCAACTATCAACTGGGTCCGGCCCCTAAGCTCGTGCTAGCAAACTAGCAACATTGTATAAAATATTCTGTACCCTCAGAGTTTCCCGAGCATGTGAGCTCCGGACTGACACAGCTGTAGACTATTCGTGCAAGAGATAAGAAGTAATCAGGTAGGCCTATTTTATGACATTTTCACTGGATCAGAGCATGACATTTTTCCCTTTCACGCCAAGTGGTTATCGAAAGGGAGAGAGCTGGAAATATTTTTAAAAAATACATTGAGGAACTATTGTCACTCATTGAATTTAACTGTGGAGCTTCTCAAAATTACTTTGAGAAGCTCCACAGTTCATTAGTGGTGGTGAGTTAAGACAATAAGAAATACTAATCAGATCCCCAAATGGGCACATTTATACAATCGCGTGCAGGCCAGGTAGGCTAGGCCATACTTCTATGTGTAATCAGGTACAAGTCCTTACTCAACATTGACAGGAGCGCTCCAAACAAAAGACAACGAATAAATTGACAAAATTCGTAAATTGAATGAAATAAACTTAAAACTTGTTTCTCACAAGTCTAGCATTGGTTGTGCGCTCTGCAAACAACTAATAATAATAATATTATATTGAATGCATTAGCAGAAATTACCGTAGCCAAGCAAACATTGTAGATTAGAAATGATGTTATTAACAGTAAATGTACTACTGGTGATATGTGTAATTGGGAATTTGTATGTGTATTTGTATTTATTATGGATCCCCATTAGCTGCTGCCAAGGCAGCAACTACTCTTCCTGGGGTCCAGCAAAATTAAGGCAGTAAATACAATTTTAAAAACATTACAATACATTCACAGATTTTACAACACATGGTGTGCCCTCAGGCCCTTACTCCACCACATTTCTACAGTACAAAATCCATGTGTACATGTGTGTATAGTGCATATGTATGTGCCTATGTTTGTGTTGCTTCACAGTCCCCGCTGTTCCATAAGGTGTTTGTTTGTTTAAACTAATTTTACTACTTGCATCAGTTACTTGATGTGGAATAGAGTTCAATGTAGTCATGGCTCTATGTAGTACTGTGCGCCTCCCATAGTCTGTTCTGGACTTGGAGACTGTGAAGAGACCTCTTGTGGCATGTCTTGTGGGGTATGCATGGGTGTCCGAGCTGTGCGCCAGTAGTTCAAACAGACAGCTTGGTGCAATCCTATGTGTAGCTACCCCCATAGTTACCAGTCCTATGTAGCTTGCAGCCCCATAGTTACCAGTCCTATGTAGCTAGCAGCCCCATAGTTACCAGTCCTATGTAGCTAGCAGCCCCATAGTTACCAGTCCTATGTAGCTAGCAGCCCCATAGTTACCAGTCCTATGTAGCTAGCAGCCCCATAGTTACCAGTCCTATGTAGCTAGCAGCCCCATAGTTACCAGTCCTATGTAGCTAGCAGCCCCATAGTTACCAGTCCTATGTAGCTAGCAGCCCCATAGTTACCAGTCCTATGTAGCTAGCAGCCCCATAGTTACCAGTCCTATGTAGCTAGCAGCCCCATAGTTACCAGTCCTATGTGTAGCTAGCAGCCCCATAGTTACCAGTCCTATGTGTAGCTAGCAGCCCCATAGTTACCAGTCCTATGTGTAGCTAGCAGCCCCATAGTTACCAGTCCTATGTGTAGCTAGCAGCCCCATAGTTACCAGTCCTATGTGTAGCTAGCAGCCCCATAGTTACCAGTCCTATGTGTAGCTAGCAGCCCCATAGTTACCAGTCCTATGTGTAGCTAGCAGCCCCATAGTTACCAGTCCTATGTGTAGCTAGCAGCCCCATAGTTACCAGTCCTATGTGTAGCTAGCAGCCCCATAGTTACCAGTCCTATGTGTAGCTAGCAGCCCCATAGTTAGCAGTCCTATGTGTAGCTAGCAGCCCCATAGTTAGCAGTCCTATGTGTAGCTAGCAGTCACAAGCGGCCCTGACCCCATACCTGGGTGATCGAAGTTGAACTGGCCCTTGAGTGCTTTTGCCTTCTGTTCTGGAGTCAGCTCTCTGTAGAAACTGTCCTGGCTGAGGATAGCTACCTGGAAAACAACGACAGATAAGTCAGCATAACACTGTGGCAGCTAACCATCTCAGGTTGTATAATACCGGTATATAGAAAAACCTGAACAGGGATAGATTGGAGAGAGGTTGGCTTCCTGGAAAAATAATGACACCGATAGGTCAGGGCTACACATTGGAAGCTAACCCCTGAATGCTGGGGCTGTGAGCTACGGTACAGAAAAACCAGGACCGGAAGTGGAAGCTAACCCCTGAATGCTGGGGCTGTGAGCTACGGTACAGAAAAACCAGGACCGGAAGTGGAAGCTAACCCCTGACCCCTGAGTGCTGGGGCTGTGAGCTACGGTACAGAAAAACCAGGACCGGAAGTGGAAGCTAACCCCTGAGTGCTGGGGCTGTGAGCTACGGTACAGAAAAACCAGGACCGGAAGTGGAAGCTAACCCCTGAGTGCTGGGGCTGTGAGCTACGGTACAGAAAAACCAGGACCGGGGGGGAGAGAATGGAGAGTGAGGTTGTCTACCTGTCGCTGGTGGTGGTCGATTTCGTTCTGCCCCAGAAGCTCCATGATCTTCTCACACACCGACGACTGCAGACACAGAAGAACACAGACGCATTTTACACTGTTGTAGGATAGACTACGCATGTTGTAGAACATTGATATTTGATAGGCTTAAAACATTGGTGTGCAGAGATGTGTAGCTACACAAAGCCCATACCATAGTCACGTGTAGTATTTATACACAAAGGATTGACTAGCTAAGCATTTCCTTTGGTGACAGGAACAGGAAGCGCCACACGTATGTGGTTCAAGATCCCCTTGCATGTTAGAAGAAAGTGAGAGTTAAAAAGGTAGTGTAACTAGTATACAGTACAGTGTTTTCCATTAGCCCGGTTACAGGCATATTTTCAGCCGGCTACATTTTCCACTTCATATTAACTAGCCTACTTTTCTTTTAAAACATTTTAGAGATCTATTGATAGGATAGGCGCCTGTCAGTCACAAAGCGATGGTGAAAAGGGAAACGCAGGAGAGAGGAAGAGGCGAAGCGAGAGGTTTCACTCGCCAAAAATCGGTCCTAAATAAGCCCAATGCGTTTCTATGGGTTTATTGTAGACTTAAGCTTATCGCCTGCCTTCCCGCCTTTGGAACAACGACTCCCATCGTTAGGGCGAAGACATGAACATCACGTCATTATATTACAGATCTCTGGTTGCAGTCACATTTCTTTACACAGGAGTTTCGGAGAGAGCATGATGTTCGTGAATTTGCACGTCACATTTAACGTAAGTGGTAACGTTGAGTCTAAATCCACGAGTTAGCTTAATTGCCTTGTGACACATTCATTTATTTTCTTTCTCGTGTTCCACATAGCCAGCCACGCGGAGTTGTAGCACACAGTAGGCTGTTTACTGTGTGTTGATTGACAACTGAACAGCAAGTGTTGACTAGTTTATAAAAGGTGTGGAACTGACTGCATAAAGTAAATCTCCTACAGTACCTTCGGAAGTTATTCAGACTTGTTAAGTTATAGCCTTATTCTAAAATTGATTAAATAAAATCCTCAGCAATCTACACACACTACCCCATAATGACAAAGCGAAAACAGGTTTAGAATTTTTTGCAAATGTATTACAAATAAAAAAAAAGAGAAATACCTTATTTACTTAAGTATTCAGACCCATTGCTTTGAGACTTGAAATTGAGCTCCGGTGCATCCTGTTTCCATTGATCATCCTTGAGATGTTTCTACAACTTGATTGGAGTCCACCTGTGGTAAATTCAACTGATTGGACATGATTTGGAAAGGCACACACCTGTCTATATAAGGTCCCACAGTTGACAGTGCATGTCAGAGCAAAAACCAAGCCATGAGGACGAAGTAATTGTCCGTAGAGCTCCGAGACAGGATTGTGTCGAGGCACAGATCTGGGGAAGGGTACCAAAACATTCCTGCAGTATTGAAGGTCCCCAAGAACACAGTGGCCTCAATCATGTTTAAATGGAAGATGTTTGGAACCACCAAGTCTCTTCCTAGAGCTGGCCGCCCGGCCAAACTGAGCAATCGGGGGAGAAGGGCCTTGGTCAGGGAGGTGACCAAGAACCCGATGGAGATGGGAGAACCTTCCAGAAGGACAACCATCTCTGCAGCACTCCACCAATCAGGCCTTTATGGTAGTGGCCAGACGGAAGCCACTCCTCAGTAAAAGGCACATGACAGACGCTTGGAGTTTGCCAAAAGGCACCTAAAGACTTTCAGACCATGAGAAACAAGATTCTCTGGTCTGAAAAAAACAAGATTGAACTCTTTGGCCTGAATGCCAAGCATCACGTCTGGAGGAAATCTGGCACCATCCCTATTGTGAAGCATGGTAGTGGCAGCATCATGCTGTGGGAATGTTTTTCAGCGGCTGGGACTGTGAGACTAGTCAGGATCGATGCAAAGATGAACGGAGCAAGGTACAGAGAGATCCTTGATGAAAACCTGCTCCAGAGCACTCAGGACCTCAGACTGGGGCAAAGGTTCACCACCAACAGGACAAAGACCCTAAGCACACAGCAAAGACAATGCAAGAGTGGCTTCGGGACAAGTCTCTGAACGTCGTTGAGTGGCCCAGCCAGAGCCCAGACTTGAACCCGATCTAACATCTCTGGAGAGACCTGAAAATAGCTGTGCAGCAACGCTCCCCATCCAACCCAACATACTTATGTAAATATGATATCCGTTTTTTTAAATTAGCAATTTCTAAAAACATTATGGGGTATTGTGTGTAGATTGATGAGGGAAAAAAACAATTTAATCAATTTTAGAATAAGGCTGTAACCTAACAATGTGGAAAAAGTCAAGGGGTCTGAATACTTTCCGAAGGCACTTTGCCATTCATATACCATGCAACGTAGTTACATGTCCATGGTATCACGTCGGGACAAGTAAACCAAAGGATTTCCTAGACGTCGGGGCTTGCCAAACAGTGACGCTAAAGTGAGTGACTCGTCTGTAGACTACCGGATCGCATCGGTGAGAGAGAGCCGCTCATTTAGCTCGCTAATTTGCATATGCTACTGGTAGGCCTAGGCTTTTTGACAATTACCTTCAGATAAATTATGGAAACATTCGATGAAGATGGTGAATCATCACTGCAGGAACAATAGGTAGTAGTGGAGAGCCTCTGATCATTTGGGCCCTCGCGGAATCCAGGCATTAAAACCAAGTTCATCATAAGACATGAACAGAATGCATCAGTGATTCTTATTTCCTGCAACTTTCTGAAGCAACGAGAATGCCTCTGTCGGTGTGTGTGTGCGCGGTGCGCGCGTCTACCACTGTGTAGCCATTAGTGATTATGCTAATGAACAGTCTTCTGGTAGACTAAACTACAAGGTACCTATGCTTACCTGGCAGAATATGATTATTTTCTTCAATCCAGTGGCTATTTGTTTTGCAAACTCTACCATCACATATGCGCTAAAAAAACACAGCTAAACAGCCTCTTGCTAGGTATGCACATAAATTAAAGGGTAAATACACCCAAAAATAAATCTCCGATTTTTCCAAGACTTCAAAAGTGGTCTCCTGCTGTGGTTTAACCTTTTACTGCAGTGGGCTTAAATTTACATTTAAGTCATTTAGCAGACGCTCTTATCCAGAGCGACTTACATGAGCAATTAGGGTTAAGTGCCTTGCTTAAGGGCACATCGACAGATTTTTCACCTAGTCGGCTCGGGGATTAGAACCAGCGACCTTTCGGTTACTGGCACAACGCTCTTACCCACTAAGCTACCTTAAATCAGGGTCACAGTGTTTCTTGGTAGTCAAACAAATCTACTTTGAAACAAGAGTATATGCCACACACACTGTTATGCGCTTAAACAAAGAAGACACCTGTACCATGTCAGAGTTGAAATGTATTACATTGAGTTTGCATCCCAATATTACACTTTTATACACACACATCACAGAAGACTGAAATATAACAAAATCGTTTGACAGAAACAGATAAAATAAATAAATGTTTATTAATAATTAAAATATTCATAACATTCCACCCATGAGTCCACTAGAGGGCGATTTGGTCATTTGACTGGAGGAAAGGGTTTTAAGATTGTTGTGGACTTCCATCCAATTTTGTTTTTCTATTTTTTTTAAAAAAAATTTAAGTGATTGTGAGAGCGAAAACCTGAAAAAAATGAAAACCTGGAAAAACAATACCTTTAAATACATTTTTCAACATGTGGGCTATTTACTTCATTTTTCAGTTAACAAAATACATAATTTGAAGAACAGTGGCAATTCATATCTTGCATACTATAAACATACAGTAACTAGTTACAGTATGTTCTACTGTACTAGTTACAGTAACTAGTACACAGTCCTAGGGCTGGTTAAGGTGACTATTACCGCCACACGAGTCATGACCGCAGTCAAATTCCAGGTGATTGTTTAGTCTTCTTCAAGCTCTGGTGGCCATTAGTAGCCTACCAAGCTCTGGTGGCCATTAGTAGCCCACCAAGCTCTGGTGGCCATTAGTAGCCCACCAAGCTCTGGTGGCCATTAGTAGCCCACCAAGCTCTGGTGGCCATTAGTAGCCCACCAAGCTCTGGTGGCCATTAGTAGCCCACCAAGCTCTGGTGGCCATTAGTAGCCCACCAAGCTCTGGTGGCCATTAGTAGCCCACCAAGCTCTGGTGGCCATTAGTAGCCCACCAAGCTCTGGTGGCCATTAGTAGCCCACCAAGCTCTGGTGGCCATTAGTAGCCCACCAAGCTCTGGTGGCCATTAGTAGCCCACCAAGCTCTGGTGGCCATTAGTAGCCCACCAAGCTCTGGTGGCCATTAGTAGCCCACCAAGCTCTGGTGGCCATTAGTAGCCCACCAAGCTCTGGTGGCCATTAGTAGCCCACCAAGCTCTGGTGGCCATTAGTAGCCCACCAAGCTCTGGTGGCCATTAGTAGCCCACCAAGCTCTGGTGGCCATTAGTAGCCCACCAAGCTCTGGTGGCCATTAGTAGCCCACCAAGCTCTGGTGGCCATTAGTAGCCCACCAAGCTCTGGTGGCCATTAGTAGCCCACCAAGCTCTGGTGGCCATTAGTAGCCCACCAAGCTCTGGTGGCCATTAGTAGCCTACCAAGCTCTGGTGGCCATTAGTAGCCCACCAAGCTCTGGTGGCCATTAGTAGCCCACCAAGCTCTGGTGGCCATTAGTAGCCCACCAAGCTCTGGTGGCCATTAGTAGCCTACCAAGCTCTGGTGGCCATTAGTAGCCCACCAAGCTCTGGTGGCCATTAGTAGCCTACCAAGCTCTGGTGGCCATTAGTAGCCTACCAAGCTCTGGTGGCCATTAGTAGCCTACCAAGCTCTGGTGGCCATTAGTAGCCTACCAAGCTCTGGTGGCCATTAGTAGCCTACCAAGCTCTGGTGGCCATTAGTAGCCTACCAAACATGCCTAGTACTCAGCACTCTATTGTCCCTCTAATCACTCTGACATCAATGCAAATGTAATCAAAAATAGAAATCAAATACTTCATGAGAGCCCATGACCTCATGTTGCGCAACATTTCTATAGGCTATGCAATTGTGAGAACAGTTGAGATGGCCTCTAATAGAGGATCCCATCAGCTTTCTATAGGCTAGGCTCCTTTATTTATGTCTC